TTTTTTTTTTAAATATTTTCAGATCATCAAAATCCGTGCCCTGCTCATCACACTCATCTCCATTACGGAGACAGTAGTTTATGTTGTTCCATAATGGCTGTTTATCCCAAGAATCACACTAAACATATAAATGCATCGTGTGGCCAGAGCGCAGAGTTTTTTGGTGTTATGTAAATCAGGCGGTACATCTGTTCTTTGAAGTTTTAACCTTGCCAGTGGCCATGTGCACAAAAATATCGGAAACATTCAATCTGCTTATTTAACGTTGCTTTCTCAGCAGCGCAGGTCATTATGTAATGTGGAACTGGAGGATGAGAATGGTGGATATGGCAGAAGGTTTATTTTACTTGCCATAAAGCACGTGGAGGGACTGATGTAGGCCACGTATGACCTCAGGATAAGCGGCGTATCTGCTTATGATCCAGGATGAAACGTCCCGAATTTGAAGCTGGAATTACTCAACCACGTATGACGTTCGAAGACCACCCACCTTTTCCCTCCAAGAGTTACTTCCCCCCTCCACAAAACCCCCTACCGTCCTCGAACTTGAAAAGCAGACTTTTCTTTAATTCTTTGAAGACTGGTGTATGTACCACCTGCTTTTTAACATTAAAAGAAATCAGCATTTCGCCCACATTGCGTATTTGTATGTTTCATATAGTTCTCAGAATGAACAGAAATTATTTTCCAAAGTGGCATTAACCGATTGGTCTTTGTAATGGGTATACATAGTGTTTTCTGTGAGGTAGGAACTGAATTGTTAAATATATAGAAAAGCTCATGCCTCAAAGGGCTAAAGAATAATCGGACTTGACACCTTCCAGCGTTCAGGGCCACCTACACTGACTCTTGTTGGGCCAGCGGCTTGACGTCAGCAAGCAGCGGGTTTCTTGAGCAAAGAGTGCTTGTCTGGGTAGCCTTGGTGTGTCTGTGCGTCATGCAACGATTGGGAATTGCACACCGCATCAGCCGCGGAAACGCATGGAGTTACAACATGGAGACGTTGCTAATGGAAAATCGGGAAGCTTGAGTTGCTGCTACTACATAAGTTAATACGCGAACGATTTGTATTTGTACTCCATCCCATATGAGTCTGAATAACCCATGCAGTTGGTAGAGAATTGTTAGATAACCTACGAATGAAGGTAAATGTAAAGTTCGTTCTGTGTTTACCCCATTAAAGCGCAGTGGTTCTTAGAAGTACTCTTTCTGGTAGAAAACATCTCTTGACTCTTGCGCACACAGAGTAAGTATAACCCTTACAATAGCGATTATTTTCATCAGCATTATTAACAGCAACGGAGATGCAGTGTGTTTTCTCTACCGTAGGGAATGGATGCTTAAGTATTACGTAGAAGGATTTCAGGACCGCCTCTGTAGTCTAGTGGTCAGAGTTCCTGGCTACAGATCCAGAGGTCCCGGGTTCGATTCCCGTAGATACTAGTTTTTCTGAGAAGTTGTGGGTCTGGAACGGGTCCCACTCAGTCTCATGAGGATAATTTAGGAGCTCTTTCGAGGAAATATCGGCTGCGGTCTAGAAAACCGAGATTAATGGCCGTGGGGATCCATTGCTCTTACCACGTGACACCCTCTATCCGCAAAAATTGGCACCAACTTCGCCGGTCGCTCGGTCGGTATAGTTCGCTTGAGGACTACAGGCCACGGAGTTGGTTTTTGTTTGTTTATAAAAGGATTTCAGTCGTTTGAAGCGTCACTCCACGCTATGAAGAATAAGAAAAAGAAATAAAATTCCTGCGTCTTCGTAATTTCGACACCGGTTAAATTGTTAGCCTCACCCGGAAGAGAGGAGGCTGTGTGGTCCCCACAGCCAGGCTGCACGCTGTGGTAAGGCTCAGATCCAAGCAGCCCAGGTTGTGCCCAGTCATAATAGAGAGAAAACTAGTTACTGTGTGGAAATACTCCTCTGCTTGGATAAGGAAATTACGGCGCTCCCGCCTTGAGGACCGAGATAGAGCCATTCCGTGTAACACTGCATTTTCTTCATTGCCTTGCAGAGTGCTTACTAACTTCATTCGGTCCGTTCTCTATATGCATGAAACGACTAAAAGCTAAACTAAACTCCGTGGCTTTAGTCCGCAAGCGAACTATACCGACCGAGCGATCGCCGCTTGTCGGCGAAGTTAGTGCCAACTTTTACGGTTAGAGGGTGTCACGTGGTCAGCGCAACGGATCCCCACGGCTGTTAATCTCGGTTTCCTAGACTGGAACCGCTATTTCCTTGAAAGCGCTCCTCAGTTATGCTCACGAGGCTGAGTGGACCCCATTCTAGACCCACTACTTCTCAGAAATACTTGTAGCACCGGGAATCGAGTCTGGAACCTCTTGATCTGTAACCAGGAACTCTGACCACAGAAACGACTACTTAATCTTGTTCACCAAACAGTGAACACTCTGTTGCCCGACCCGACATCATAACAGCTGGGTCTGAACTGGTTTAATGTATGGGAAACTTTATGTCATTCAGGATCGCTTTCAGTTGTCGCTGAAGTACCGCCTCATGCATCCTAGAAGCGCACTCCGACCGACTGATGTTGTTGCATTGGTAATGCACAGAACCGTGCCACGATGCCATGTGAATGTAGTACTGAAATCGTGTCGTTAAATGACGGACCAAAAAGCAAAGGAAAAAAGGTTACGCAATGATTGATAATTTGGTTTTTCTAAACCAGTATAATGTGACTTTAAATTGTATTTAATGAGCGTATAAAGTGAACTATATTTTTGTGATAGCAGAAATGTTTTAAAACGAGTTAATCCACCATTAGATAGTATTCTCTCTCGGAACTCCAGGGTTTCCCGGAACACAGTTTGAGAAACTGTGTTGCCCCTGCCCTCGAAAATCAGTAGTTGAAATTTTCTTCAACATTTTTTAAACATTTTCTACTGTATGGTCTCATGAGATAAGGGTTTTGAAGAAGAAGAAGAAGAAGAAGAACGCGTTGTTGTGAATCACCATTCTGGGACGTTTCTTGGCTATGGCAGATCAATGGAATTACTTTCAAGTCATTAAGTAAGTAAACCCGCGTCCGCTTCTTTGTTTTCCGTACCCTTCGACTTTGACGCAAATAAGTTTTTGCTTGCTGCCGCATCAGTTGACGCACAGTGGAAGAACACTGCTTTTACATCCACTCGGAATTAGCGGAACGCCTTATCCTTTTCCATCTGTGAATACTGCGCAACTAAGGAGATCCCATGTAGTGTCCATTACTTCAGATATCCATGAAAATAACTCATAGGTTTGGGAAAGGTGTATGTATTGCAGCCATTTCATTGCAGATGAATTCGCAAGTAGCGCCAACTGACACTCGAAATGTGGGGCGAAGTAGTTTGAGCGAAAAGGCTGTCCGTCCCACGATGTTTCTTCCGAAAGATCGAGGCCGAATATAGTAGACCCATATGAGGCCGCTGTACCTGTGAGCTGATTTCCCACACAACCAAAAACTAAAACCACTGTAAGGCATCAGACGAGTACCCGTGGTTCGCGGTACAACCGTGGCCAATTTTAGGCCATTACAGCGGAATGCGACCGCCTCTGTGGTCTAGTGGTCAAAGTTCCTGGCTAAAGATCCAGAGGTCCCGGGTTCGATTCCCTGCGTTACCGGATTTTCTGAGAAGTAGTGGGTCTGGAACGGGGTCCACTCATCCTCGTGAAGATAATTGAGCAGCTATTTCAAGGAATTAGCGGTTCCAGGATACAAAACCGAGATTAACGGCCGTGGGGATCCGTTGTGCTGACCACGCGACAGTTTATCCCCTAAGGCTGAAAACCCACTGACGCGACTAGTCGCGAGCGGCTGAGCCATTTTCGAGAAGCTGACAGTTGTGCAGCTACTCAAAAACTTTCCAACATTTTATAGAAACCCCGGGTTCATCACCGTGTTTACAAGATCCCTCCGCTGGTTCATAACCTGAGCCAGATCGATCCAGTTCATACCACCCCATCTTATCTAAGATCCATTTTAATATTGTCCACCCACCTACGTCTAGGTCTTCCTAGTGGTTTCTTTCGTTCTGGCTTTCCCACCAATATCCTATATGCATTCCTCTTCTCCCCCATTCGTGCTGCCTGCTCTGTCCATCTCATCCCCATTGACTTTATCGTTCTAATTATACTTGGAGAAGAGTACAAGTTATAAAGTTCCTGATCATGCAGTTTTCTGTAACCTCCTGTCACTTAATCTCTCTTCGGTCCAAATATTCTCCTCCAAACCCTGTTCTCAAACACCCTTAGTTTATGTAAAAGGTAAAAAGGGTAAAGTTGTCCCTGTGCTTGACTAATTAAGCACTACGCCATGAAGGCTTATGAGGGAGTGGATGTATAGATCCACATTTTCTTGACCTCGGCACTAGCTGGAGGGGAGTGAGCCCCCGGTACCCATTGTATTTGAGGTTGGGTGGGACCCAGTGCCAGCCTGGACGACGTGGAGAAGAGTAAATTGTGGACCCTACCGGGACTCAAACTCCGACCCCTCGGTCGTCCAACCCGTAGCCAGTCGCTGTACCGACTACGCTATTCCGGCTGTGTTCCTTGCGTAATGTCAAGAGACCAAGTGATGACCCTTCCATTGCTCCACAGTATTATGTTGCAGTCTGTACTCCACCTTACCTCCTCCTCCTCTGCTATTTACGAACGATTTCCTATAGAAAGGATTCAATTGAAGGCGCATGTTTTTGAGTTTGCGGTAAGATTGTCTGCTATTGTCATCGGGTATTGTAGAATCTCGAGCTCATTAATGGGGTTCACGCAGACTAACGAAGCGTGGGGAAATTGAATGGGGTGCTTGAGTAGCTAACGCAGCAAACACAGGAATACCATGGAAGCATATTTATTAGTCAGATCGACTGTAGCCTAGCGGATTGTCACAGAACAGTGTAATTGTTTCACAAGAGAACACTTCATAAGTTGCTATTACTGAATTGCTTTGCTGATTATCCAGTATGTTACGTTGTATTTACGAACAACTCGCGCCGAATAATTTAACATTATACATATTATATGTTGGCTATTATACATCGTCTTGAGTATATGTAAAATACACAACATTTCGACAACTGGTCCCCTTCCGCCATCAGGTGAATGTGTGTGTGTTGGGGAGGGGGGAGGAAGGCAGGATTGTATTCATCTGGGCGCATGAAATAGAGCTGCTCTCGATCACTGGATCTCATTAGTTCCATCTAAAGGATACATACGACTACATCCAAGACGATGGAAAATGTCCAGTATCATGTTGCTATAATGAATAGACTTTTTCACAGACATTTAAAGGATCAGGATCATTGATTTAACATTAGTATATTTTGAAATTTTTGTATACACCGTATAATTGATGGCTGATTGAATCCATTCGTGGCCAGGTTCCAGTTATCCCTGCTTATTCCGTCTCTGTACTCGTCCAGGTTCAGCTGTCCCTGCCCCTCATCCGTCTTTCATGAGTGTTTCCATTCCAATGTGTGTATTGATCGTCAGCGCAAGAACGCTGTTTGTCGCTTATTTTTCCATGACCCTTACGAGTCTGGCACCACCTGGTGTATGAGCGGTCTCCTGGCAGTGCCTTGTCCGTGAGGACCTTTTGACTTTCTTGAATTCTTTAATGCAGCAGGCGAGAGAGTCCTCGTACATGTTCCAATGTCGTATCATCTTGGCTTCATTAACTAGCCTTCTTTTGTCACCCACTCAACTCGTTACTCCACCTGAGTACTTCCTTTGAATATCGAGTGGTCGTGGCTGGGCAATTACGGTGACAGGATAAGATGATGGTTTGTTTAAGCCGGTTAGCAGCTAGATCTGTGACTCGTATCGATTGAATCTTTCACCAAATGCTCTGAAGATTTATCCTTAAAAAGAGGTAAAGCTATCCATGTAACAGGCTGTGAAGGCCCATAGGGTTGTGAGACGTCGGCTAGGGCTCCCACATTTTCTTGACAACCGGCTTATAGTTGGCGGTAAGATTGTCAGCCATACGCGCCGACTGCCCTTTACCCCCCCCCCCCCCAAGGAAGATTCCTGGTACTCATTTCTGTTACAAGCTGAGTCGACCCCAGGGCCATAGTGCTCCTGGAAGGATTAGGTAAATTGAAAAAATCCACCACATCGGAACTCGATCCAGCTACCATCCGGCTTGTA